CGGAAAATCACGTTTTACGGATTTTATTATTATTTTTAATTAGAATATTATTTTCACGCGCATTTTTTGCGTGATTGGAACAATTTAGTCCACATCATGTATGTCATTGCCATATAAGCACAGTCAATGGTCAAAGTAATTTATTCATATCCATTCCATCGAGTTGGAGTGTTTAAATGGGAAAAGTGTAAGTTTATGTACCGGATTGACAAACAGGTACAAGTTTAAGTGGTTGTAGACATCAAAATTTTATCGGACCAAATCCGTATGAAATTTGGGTATGATCCTAAATTTAAGATACTACAAGTAGAGTCCATCAAGGTTTCTCGGAGGCTACTCTATCTGAACCTCTAACTTGGAGGCTACTCTACCTGAAACCCTAGCTTGGAGGGTACTCTACCCAAAACCCTAGCTACACTTATAAAAGGGGATCAAATATTGTCTTTCTCAAAGCCACCGAAGTGATCAACGGATGTTCTTCCTTTTTCCGGAGATCAAATATATCCTGAGGAAGTTCGCATCATCCTACGTTCGAGAAATACGCTGGTTAAGCCTTCGAATCACTGAGAAAGACTAGAGAGAAGAATCAAGGGAACAAACAGAAGTGTACCAGCATCATTTTATCAATAAAATTATGTTTCTTCGTAATTATATTGTGGTTACAATTTATTTTTATATCCCAAATAATTTGTTGCAAACAAATTGACACGCCCAGTGGGACCAAATGTGCCCTTCATCTCTTCTCTCACCGTGAAAAGAATGTAGTGTCTTCTTTACCGGTACTTCAAGCCTTGTCTACGATAATCTTGTAAAATCTACGTCTCGACAAACCTTGAAGTAGGGGGCATTTATAGACATTAAAATTGTATCGGATCAAATCCATATGAAATTTGGGTTTGATCCTATATTTAAGATACTACAAGTAGAGTCCATCGAGGTTTCTTGGAGGCTATTCTATCTGAAACCCTAACTTGGAGGCTACTCTACCTGAAACCCTAGCTTGGAGGCTACTCTACCAAAAACCCTAGCTACACCTATAAAAGGGGACCACATATTCCCTTTGATAGCATCTCGAAATTTCATAAAATTCGTGAAATATTCATAAAGGGATCAAATACATCAAATATTGTCTTTCTCAAAGCCACCGAAGTGATCAACAGATGTTCTTCCTTTTCCCGGAGATCAAATATATCCTGAGGAAGTTCGCATCATCCTACGTTCGAGAAATACGCTGGTTAAGCCTTCGAATCACTGAGAAAGACTAGAGAGAAGAATCAAGGGAACAAACAGAAGTGTACCAACATCATTTTATCAATAAAATTATATTTCTTCGTATTTATATTGTGGTTACAATTTTGTATCACAAATAATTTGTTGCAAACAGTGGCCACAAGGCCATTTTGCCTTATTTTAACAACATGCGACTATTTATGCACTCACCGCCCCAAAAGTGCTTTTTTTTTCTTATCAAAAAGCACTTTTTTTTCTCAACTTGAGATTTTTGGCCAAACTTTTTGAGGAAAAAAATGCTTTTGGAAAGAAGCAAAAGCAATTTAGAAAAGCAGAAAAAAGTATCTTCTCCCTAGAAGCAGAAGCAATTTTGAATTTTCTTTTTACCAAAAATACCCTTAGCAAAATATGGTATATATCAAAATAACCTTACTTATTTTAAACCTAATACTTAGAGTTAGAAATTATATTATTGAGCTCTCCTAATGTATAAATATTTCTTTGTATTTTTAGGATAGCTTTCCAATATACGGTGACTTTTGAGATGAATGTTTTTATATTTGTTAAATAATTTTTGATATATTTGAATCATCTTGAAAGAATTAAAGTACTTTTTTATTTTATTTTCATGTTTTACTTACATAAAATGAAAAAACTTAATTATTATCTTTAATAATAAATATTTGAGATTATTTATTTATTCATATAATATTAACTATTAAGTAAATCTTTTCATGTCCTTATTTGTAATTTGATACTTAAAAGCACCTTTTGAAAAGCTTGGCCAAACACAAATTATTGTTCAAAAGTGATTTTCAGATTGATTAGTCAAACACAAACTGCTTCTTTTCAAAAGTACTTCTGAAAAAGCACTTCTCAAAATAAGCAGATATTTCCAGCTTAGCCAAACTGGCTATTTATCGAGGTATAAAGTAGTCACCCATGCCATTTCTACCACAAAAGTAGCAATAAATTACAAAAGAACATGACAATACGAGCTAACGCTCTGTTAAACTTGAATTTCTGCTCACGAAACAAACAGAGATAAAAATTCGAAATTATCCACTTTAAGGGTTACTTGCATAGACCTAACAATTCTGGCTAAAAACTTAAGAGATTTTTTCCTTCCTATACCATATATGAAACTTTATTACCAAATATGTGCATAGTTTCTAATTTACCCGCTATGTTCACAGTTTTTCTACAATTATTGTACCATTCATTAAATACTAATTATTAGTAGCTGAATCTTACTAATTAGGCGCGCTACAAATCAGGAACAGAATATTCTAATTGATTTCGCGACCTTCAGATCAAATTTGAAATGCAAATCCTATATCTTCAATTTAAAATCCATTGACAGCCATTAAAAAGCTTGAAAGCTTTGAATTCAAATTTGGGTTTTCAAAAATCATTATTTGTTTGGATTTGGTATTGTTGAAAATAATCGGGAATATGGTTTGGAGTTTATATCTCAATTTTGAGGGGTTTGGGTGAAGATTAGACTTGGTTTTGAGTGAATTTCAGATTGAAACTCGAAGAAGAAGAAGAAGAAGAAGAAAAAGAAGACATATTGCAGAAATTGTAGATAAATTGTATTATGATTGTAGATGCTTTATTTTCTGTTTTCACAAATAAAAAACGGCTAAAACTTCTACAAATCTTCTGAAAAAACGCAATTATGTCAAAAATGCCAATTATGCTACAATTGAATGGGAATTGGGATATAAAAATTTAATGTACCTAGTTTGTAGATATTTTGTAGATAAATTGTAGATTATTTGTATTTTGATTGTAGATGCTTTGTTTTCTGTTTTCACAAATTAAAAACGACTAAAACTTCTAAAAATCTTCTGCAAAAAACGCAATTATGTCGAAAATCCCAATTAAACTACAATCGAATGGGAATTGGGATATTGAAATTCAATATACCCAGTTTGTAGATATTTTGCAGATGAATTGTAGATTATTTGTATTCTGATTGTAGATGCATTGTTTTCTGTTTTCACAAATCCAAAACGGCTAAAACTTCTACAAAATCTTCTGCAAAAAATGCAATTATGTCGAAAATTCCATTTATGAGATTGGACGAATCTTTATGATTTAAGAAGAATAAATATTGAAATAACACATGGAGCTAAGTTAAAGCTTGTGACAAGTTGTACATATAATGTGCAAAAATCTCCAACGCAAAAGAAGAGTGTCCAGCTAGTGGAAGCCTGGGAACAACAGATTTTGCAGATCTGAATGAATTTAACTAAAACATCCTTCAACTCCAACCCGAAAGAATTGCGTTCTGGATATTCTAGTATTAACAGACCATGTTACAACCTCATCTTTTTATGGAATTTCCTGATAAACAAATCAGCCACATTATCGATCTCGTCTTCTAGTACGAAATTCTGTCCTTCTTCCTCTTTGAAATTCCTCAACATATCTATAGCTGATGCATTTGGATCACCTAAATATTCATCCTCTTCATCAAACAACGAATGTGTCAAATCCGGATACTTATCATCATAATCATACTTTTCGCCGTTGCTCAATACTTTATGTTTAATAACAGTACATAAACGTGGGTGAGGGTGAGGGTTTGGGAGAGAGAAACGTGGGAGGGGTGGGATATACGGTACCTTGAATTAAGGAGGGATTTACGCTGCATTAATTGTACCCTTAAAATACACTATGGTATAGAATTGGTAATTTGGTATACTAGCCCGTTTGGCCAAGCTGCAAAAATCAGCTTATTTTGAGAAGTGTTTTTTTTTCAAAAGTGCTTTTCTCAAATGTATTTTTGGTGAGAAGCAGTTTGTGTTTGGCTAATTAGTTTGAAAAGCACTTCTGAGCAGCAATTAGTGTTTGGCCAAGCTTTAAAAAACTGCTTCTAAGTGTATTTTTCTCAAAAGTGCTTCTCAAAAAAGTGCTTTTGGAGAGAAGCTACTTTTTTCTGCTTCTCCAAAACTGCTTCTGCTTCTCCTCAAAAGCACTTTTTTTCCTTCCAAAAGCTTGGCCAAACACCTCAAATTTTGGCCAAAAGTGCTTTTGGCAAAAAAAAGTACTTTTGGCCAAAAAGAAGCTTGGCCAAATAGGCTATAAATGTAATTATATCAAACCTTAAACATTGAGGGTAATAATTCCAAAACGTAAGCATTCCCATCATGTAGATCCAAGACTGGGAAGAGAGTGATATAGAGAGAGGGATGGAGTAAGCACAATAATGACTTGGAAGATTTCAAGACTAGACAAAAGAAAGTAGGAGTACAATTATTATCAAAAGAAATTGCAAGAAAACATACAGAATATATAGTACAAGTCGAGCAATATAAGTGAATATGAGAAAGACAGAGGATGAACAAGGAGTAGTTTGAGTGTATAATATTGTATGATAAATTAACAAATTTGAGGACTCAACAATACATACCTACTACTCCTATAAAGAGAGTAAAAGAATGTGAGTAAGTAGATCAACATTGTCAAACACTACTAGTCTTTTTATAGAGCATATATCAAATATAAATGTTTATTTTACAATTAGATTAATTATTTCAACTTCAATATGAAACGAAAATTAAAGTTTAAAAAACTGGATTGAGTATTTAAGTGAAATAAGAATTTTTACTCACAAAATTTTAATTTTATTTTAATGACATTCATGTTAAAAAACAACTGAATCAAATTTCCAAATTACCTTTTTTCAAATATTATCCAAATGGGAACACTAAAAAAAAAAAAGGGAAAATGTGAGAAAAGCGGTGAAGAGAAAACTACCTCGATAGTCGAGAAACCCAGATTACTTTCCCTTTTATCTGTGTGGTTCATACCAGAAAACAGTAGATAGCAGTTGCTTTGCTCTCTGTTTTAATCTCAGATTTTAACTCCCACAACACGACACCATTTTTGATCTGACTGATATTGTCTTTATTCATCTACAAAAAGACACGCACACTCATTTATCAAAAGTACAAGGATATTTTGAGGCGGTGGACTGAATACAAAGCCCAAATTTTGGACTGACTTTCCCAATCGTGATTGAGACTTTTAATTTCGGAACTGCTGCAATTTTTTTACAGGTATCTGATCCTTACTCAGCTAGATGTTCAAACTGTCTATCACTGATTTGGGTGTATATTGGGGGTTATCTGTCAAGGGTTTCTGTTAAACCCTTTAGCTTAATTGAGTCGACCCATAGCAAAGAAATTGGTGCACATCGCTGTAATACTTGCTAGAGTTTCAATAATTAGTCTTTAACTATGATATTTTGATTCTCGGTACCCACAAGCGGTGAATGAAGTAATTTTGTAGACGAATCATGATGGTTGTATTTATTGTGTAGGCATTTAAGTGGGTGACCTCCTATTGGTAAATGATCTGAAAAAGGAGGTTTTTTTTTGAAATGGCTATGGTTAGCAAAACCAGAACTATGCTGGAGGGTCTGGTTAAAGATGGGTCATTTAAATGGTTGACGAAAAACCCGAGTTCACTTGATGAAGATTTAGAGGAGATGGGGTCTTCATCCACTGGCAAGAACTGGTTGCCTGAGCTATCTCCTGTTGCAAATGTCGTTATCCGAAAATGCTCAAAGTAAGCTTGTTCTTTCCTATCTTTCAAACACAATTTAGTAATCTTTAACGATATTGATTGTTTCTAACAGATTCAGTGTAATTGAGCTGATGGATGCATTTAGCAGGAACAAAAGCATTGAGTTGGTTGTTGAGTTCTGTTTTATATCTCGTGATATGAATAACCAAAATCTGACTTTGTATGCAGAATCCTTGATATTTCCATGAGTCAACTTCAAGAAAACTTTGATGCAGAGGCTTCTGATTCCATAAAGCATAAATCTCAGTATGCTAGGAACTTCTTGGAATACTGTTGCTTCAGGGCTCTTGCCTTGTCTATACAAGTAAATGGTTACCTAGGCGACAAACTGTTTCGACGCCTTACATTTGACATGATGGTTGCATGGGAGTTTCCAGCAGCTTCTAGCCAGCCTTTCGCCAGTGTATGAAATTACTTTTCCATGTTTTCCTTCACTCTACATAATAGTTTTATAGTTACATAAGTTGTTGAACACCACTGAACTTTAGTTTATAGTGAGGAATATTCATGAAATCCTTGCCTGGTCCATTAGTTCAATGTTTGTTGTTCTCCCTCATCTGGGTTGTTATCTGACATTCATTTAATTATAGATGGATGAAGATGTCACTGCTGGCTCAGAGGCTTTTTCCCGTATTGCTTCAGCAGTTCCTATAATTGCCAATGTGATAGTTACTGATAGCATTTTCGGTGTGCTTACGTCGTCATCAGGCGGTCGACTTCTTTTCTCAGTTTATGATAAGTACCTGACTAATTTGGAAAGGTACTACCAACTTTAGCGCTTTGTTAGTTGCAAAAATTTGAGTTAAATGCTTTACGAGTTTTATTTATTTCTGTGCTTGTGCCGGCCTCTGTTTGTGGTTCATCTTCCAACTGACTTATCAGATCATAATATTTTTAAACAAATTTTAAACAAAAATTACATCATAGGTTCTAGTGATAGATTTTCATTTCTAACCTGGGTAATATAATCGAGGCGAATAGCTCAGACGTCTATATTTATCCCAACATATAACATAGGTGCTCGAATTAACCAAGGGATCACATAATGCTGCTTAGCCCCGTTATGATATATCTACATGCGTTAGGTACTATATAAACTGCATTTATGTTGCCAATTTCTGAGCATCCTGCGGTTACCCTCGGTGATATGGTGTTAAGTGCAGCAAGTAGATATATACTATGTATAATAAAGTACATTAGAGACTGAGTTGGAAAGGTCCCTCACAATGATTAGAATTGACCCCAATTACACCTCTCCCCCTGTCTGTGTTCCTTCTACTTTTTGTCTAGTTGAATGCTTAAATAATAGTAGATTATAAGCTTCTTTTGCTATCATTTATGTCTTGCCTAAGTTCCAGTTGAGAGAGGAGTACTAGTCTGAAACGTAGTAGCATGGGTCGTTTGGCACGGAAGATTATCGTATCTGTTAAATGGACCTTGGGCCTAACTCAACCCCAAAAGCTAGCTCAAGAGGTGAGAATTTCCCAAGGCCATATAAAGGAGACCACCCATCCCCTTCATTGTCGATGTGGAACTCAACACCCCCTCTCACGCCCAGGACTGGACATCTGGAGCGTGGACAATTATGGGGGCCCAACATCGGAAAATCGGGATGGGTCCTGCTCTGATACCATGTTAAATGGATCTTGGGCCTAACTCAACCCCAAAAGCTAGCTCAAGAGGTGAGGATTGTCCAAGGCCATATAAGGAGACCACCCATCCCCTTCATTGTCGATGTGGGACTAAACAGTATCAGCCTATGTGTGCTTGCATTGGGGTGCTCTGTAGTTTATTATTGTTAGGTAATCTTATCCGAGTGGTGATAGTAGTGGTCTTTCTAGTAACTTTGAATTGAAGTGATGTGATTCAGAATGCATCTTTGCTTTAGTGTTCCGTTATGGCATTCTTATTAGCAGGCCATCCATAATCCTCGGTTGAGAATGTTGCTTGTTTGGGAACTTTTTCAGGGCTATTAAAAAATTTAAGACCCAGTCTGAGTCGTCCCATCTTTCTGCCTTACGTGCAGCAAGAGGGGAGAAAATTCTGGAGCTGGATGGCACTGTGACAACCCAGCCGGTGCTTGAACACGTGGGAATTTCGGCATGGCCTGGTATGTTTTTGTGGATAGCAATGGTTTTATTGCTTGAAATTCTTATCTTCGGAGCAGAAAGGAATGATATCAGACTTGGAATTTGAGCAGATTACGTGCATCTATTAGCCTTTCTGATATATTTCGTGGCCATGTATTTGTAATTTTCAGGTCGGCTGACTTTGACAGATCATGCTCTCTACTTTGAGGCACTTCGTGTTGTGTCTTACGACAAGGCAAAGATATATGATCTGTCAGATGATCTAAACCAGATTGTTAAACCGGAGCTAACTGGACCATGGGGCACAAGACTCTTTGATAAAGCAGTCTTGTATAAATCAGTTTCCTTGTAAGGCATGACACATGATGACTCCTATGTGGGTCATACTTCTCTACAAAATCTAATGTATTTCTTCTATTAAGACTATTTTCTAGTTCAAGCAGCCTACAAACTTGTTAATGGTCTGCTGAAAATATTGTAGGTCAGAACCTGTTATAATGGAGTTTCCTGAGCTTAAAGGACATACGCGTCGTGACTATTGGTTAGCAATTATTCGGGAAGTTCTACATGTGCATCAGTTCATACTTAAGTTCCAGATTACTGGAATAGAGCGTGATGAGGCGCTTCTGAAAGCTATATTTGGTATATTGCGAGTACAAGCCCTGAAGGATATGAGTGCTAAACATTCACTTTGTTATGAGGATCTTCTTATGTTCAATGTATGTGATCAGCTTCCCGGGGGAGACCTTATATTAGAAACAATTGCAAATAGGTCAACTGTGAGGGAATCAGAGCGGACAAACTCTCCCAAACCTAAAAACAGAATGTACTCAATTTCGGCTTCAGCCTTGGCTTCCAACCTGGGTTTTGTTTTTGGAACAAGTTCTCATGTCCCTAATGAGACAGGAATTGTTGTGGGTGAAATTGCTGTGGGGGAGATGACTCCCTTGGAAAAAGCAGTTAAGGAATCCAGAAGCAACTATAAAAAAGTAGTGCAAGCACAAGCTACGGTTGATGGAGTGAAAGTTGATGGTCTTGACACCAACTTGGCAGTAATGAAGGTATTAATGACAACTACAGTGGCTTCGAAATAAGTAGAAAGGTCGAAGAGGATAAATTGAATACAATCTTTTGCCATTTTATTGAGAAATTGCGAGTGGATCTGCTAATTGTTACTCCCTCTGTTTCATTTGAGATGACATATTTTCCTTATTAGTTCGTTCCAAAAATAATGACACATTTCTACAATTGGAAATAATTCGACTTTAAACTCTTCATTTTACCCATTTTACCCTTAATGAGAAACTTTTGTAACCACACAAATGTCATGGTCTCACAAAGCTTTTACCACTTAAGCTTTTAAGACCACAAATTTCAAAAGTCTTCTTCTTTTTCTTAAACGCCGTGCCGAGTGAAATGGACTAAACTGAAACGGAGGGAGTTTTGACATGCTTGTTGTCTTCCTGTTTACAAAATTTTATGCTGTTGCCTTCTCATAGCTCAATCTTTTGAATAAAACCATTGGAGTCTCTTTACAATTAATTTTTTTTCCTTTCTTGATGAGCTGTATCTTAATCTGCATGAGTTGCCTCTCATACTAATCCTTAGGATTCATTGCAGGAGTTGCTCTCTCCTATGATGCAGCTTGGAAATTGGATACTTCTTCTGGCTTACTGGGAAGACCCTTTTAAGTCCATGATTTTCTGCTCGGTTTTCTCATACATTATTGTCAGGTAAGTTGGTAGTTGGCTAATATCTCTGTAATGGGCCATCATAAAGAAAAGGACTTAAATACATGTGATTTTCTCTGGCACTCCACTATATCATCAACCTACTTGTCTGGTGTATTCTCTAAATAGCTGATTGCTTCTTCAGATTTAGTGTTTTTTCTCTCTCAGCAAACCCATGAAGTGCTTTCAGCCTCTGTGTGTGTGTGTGTGTGTTGGGGGGGGGGGGGATGGATGCCAACTTTACGCAATCTTCTCCTTGGATTTCTGCGAAGAGGCTGATTGTTCTCTCAGCTAATTAGCATAAATTTGTCCTGATCAAAAGTCCACTGCCATCTCTTGTCCCTAAATTAGGTATACTGTTCTGACGTGGTATGCTTTTTTCTCCCTCGACTTAGAAGAGTGAGATTGTTGCTGATTGTATCACAACAACAACAACAACCCAGTAAAATCCCACAAGTGGGGTCTGGGGAGGGTAGTGTGTACGTAGACCTTACCCCTACCCCGAAGGGGTAGAGAGGCTGTTTCCGAATCACCTTCTCCAAATTTGAAAGTTGCACTTTTGGGGATTTTATTGGAGTCGGTGCGAGTATTATGTTCTCTGTGCAGATTGTAGTTTTATGTTTCTTAGCTAAGTAAATTCAAGTGGATATCATTTTGGTCTGAGTTCTTTTGGTGGAATGTAACCATTCTTCTTACCATTACCTTTCTCAAATAGAAGAGACCATTGTTCTAATTTCCTTTTTTCTTTTTCGATGAAATAAAGTTTTTTTCATTAATACTAGCATCCAGAAGATGCATAATTACAGAAGTGTTAATGACTCCTATGCAAAACTCGGGGAACCAAAAAAAACAGATTCACATCAGTTACATCCCTGTGTTTACACCCAAAAAATAAAAAGGTTCAATTGCATTCCATTGCTCTAATTTCACGTGGTTTAACCTCCATTGACCACCATGCTGGTGTCAAAAGCATGTGCAAGTTGTTCATTTACTCAACCCTAGTTACCCACAGAAATTTGCCAACTAGTATACAACATGGTAGTATTCTCTCTCACACAAAAAATACAAGTGAAATGAAAAATGGTCTTTCAATTCTTTCTTCATCATTGCCGCTATCATGTAACAGTTATTTGATTGTTATTGCTTTCATCAAGTATGTCAATCCCACCTATCGATAAAATACTTGTGACATGGGTTTTATATGGGCAAGGATCAAAGCCTATCTGGATCATCTGTATATTAGCCCTTGAACAGAGGAAACTGAAAAGCAACTGAATGCTCGGGATTTTATGGCTTATCAAGTTTCTTTCTGTCCTACTAGATACTTTAGTTATTCAGTCTTTTAAAGTCCTAAGGAACACCTTGGTTCTCAAAATTTATTTCTCTGTCTCCTTAATTTGTGGCATTTCCAACTAAAAGGCGGTCTGATAGTTTCGGTTGACCTGCCTCTTGATGCTCTAGATTCTGTGTTTCCGTGTACATTCCCTTGCATGGATGAAATTTCTTGATGATGTGGTGGTTGAAAAAATTTCACTGATACCCACCTCTTTCTTTCTCTTTTTGTTGGTTGCAGGGGATGGCTGTGCTACGCCTTTGCGCTATTGCTCACCTTTTTTGCTGTCTTTTTGGTAATAACTCGCTGTTTTAGTCAAGGCAAGACAGTTGATGAACTAAAAGTAATAACTCCACCTCCAATGAATGCCATGGAGCAACTTTTGGCTGTTCAAACTGCAATATCTCAAGCTGAAGAAGTGATCCAGGACGGAAACATCGTTCTTCTCAAGTTCCGCGCTTTACTTTTGTCCATCTTCCCACAGGTTTGTGCGAATTTTAGCGCTTTCCTTCTATGACGAGCATCTTATTAGTCAAGTTGCTAGTTAAATAAAGGTTCCCTACTGTCCTGAATGATATCAAGTCTTGTGGTTACTGAACCATCCTTGTTTGATGGTGAAAACTCCTTTTTCTGAAAACTTCGGTTTGCTGCTGTGCCGATCCAGGATGCACAAGGAGGCATCCTGGATCTTTCCTTCACATAACAGAGTTGATCTTGTGATAGGAGTTTAAATAATATGTCATTTGCTTGACTGTGATTAGTGGTAATCCCATTGTTATTTGGATGTAGATAATTTAATTGAACCTACATCTTATCCCTGTTATTTTTCAGGCAAGCGAGAAGTTAGTGGGTGCTCTTTTGGTCTCGGCACTAGTTTTGGCATTCGTACCTTCGAGATGCATAATCCTTATGAGTTTCCTGGAACTCTTCACAAGATACTCACCTCTTCGGAAAGCAAGCACAGAAAGATGGACTAGGAGACTAAGGGAGTGGTGGTTCAGTATTCCGGCAGCTCCTGTAGTTCTTGAAAGAGCCAAAGAAGACAAAAAGAAAAGATGATAAAAAACTTTGTACATAAATATCCATCATCCTTAGAGTCTCCTGTGACTGTAAATTTGTGGTATATGAGAAAGTAATTAAAGAAGAATCCGGATTGGCCTTGAGGTCTCCGTTAACGTCTGCTGTTGGTTATGTATCACTGCCTCTGGGGATTCGAACTCGTGTGTTGTATTGTACTGACCATGAAGTACTATATTGCTTTGTCCAATCTTCCAAGGGAAATAGCAATGGCTTATTGGAGAAATCAATGATGCTGGTTTTGTTGAAATCCATAGCTTGTCTTGTTCAAGGTAAAGTTAGTCTCTGTTTTGAGGGTATAGGAATTAGGAGGTTCAAGCTCCTGGGGCTGCGCAACCATTACTGAGGAAATTCTTCTTTAGATAATTCTTGATTTTTGTTCAAGTCGAAGAACCCATTTGAATATGAAAATTGAAGTGTGATCCATTATTAGAACCAGAGCAGTGAGGTGAGAAGAATACTGGAGGAAAGGAGATGAGAGGACACTAGACAATAGCAACCACTTACACTATGCCTACCAATTCCTTGTTCATTTACTTCCTAAAACAAACTATCTTGCATACAACAACAAAACTAGTTACTTCTTAATTCAATTAAGTTGGATCAATTGTATGAATCGTCATTTCAAACCAATGTTACGCAAATACATATAGAAAATTATGAAGTTCTTTATATTTTCTAAAAGTATATATCACTTAAAGGTTCAACGGCTCCTAAAAAATTATAGGACCTAAAGCAAAAGTAATAACATCTATATATATATATATATATATATATATATATATGATTTTAGGTCTGCATCGTCATTTTTACACATCCATTCACAATGGTTTTACACCTATTAGTCAATGCATTTGGAGGTCATGATCAAATCATCTCAACGATGTGGCGTTCTCTCATTTTATATCACACATATATCTTGGTATCCACATTGGAATTTTTATCTCCTGTAGCAAAGGTTAACACCTTATTTATTTTAAATAAATACCATTTAAAAAAATTATATTCTATAGATACCTTTTAAGGTTTATAGCAAAATATTTAATTTTGGTTACCTCCTAGCCCTAAGCCACTAAATACGCTAATCAGTTACACTATTTTCTTTCTCTCTTTACTTTGATACATCCCATTCTCTTTCCCCATCCTATTAAAATTTTCGATCTCCTCCTCCTTCCACCGAATTTGTGCAAAGCCCACTTCAGAAATTGCTCCGGCTCCCGCATCCGACGACTGCAACAACTTGAACTCGGTCCAATTGAACTGCCTTGCTCCAATGGGCTATTTGGGAACAAAAATAATCCTGCTGATGTTGATTTTGAATTTGATTTATTGATGCAAGATGAGTACCAGTTCGATATCTTCTCACTGTTGGTTCCGGAACATGGGCATACTACATAGGCTAATTCTTATGATTTTTTTTTTTATTTTTTTTTGTGAAAAAATAGGGTCAATATAATGTTTTAACAATTAACGTTGATATAGCTTTGGCAACAGAGCCTGGATATACTAGATTGGCTAATTCTTCTGATGCTTTCTGAAATTTTTGGGTCAATAATGTATTGACAATTAGCTACAACGTTCAATAAGATTTGTTATGATTTTGCTCTTTTGTGTAGAGCATTTCAATGTAACTCGCTGTATTTCTATGTATTTCATTGTATTCACTATCTTTTTTTCATTGTAATTATATGTATCTCGTTGTATTCCATGTATTTCATTGTATTCAGTGTCCTTTTTTCTCATTGTATTTCGATGTATCCCTCTGTATTCTATCTATTTCATTGTATTCATTAGGGGTGTTCATGGTTCGGTTTGGATCGGTTTTTCCCTAAAAAGAAACCAAACCAAGTAAGTCGGTTTTTCAAATATTAGAACCAAACCAAACCAATTAAGTCGGTTTTTTCTTAATTCGGTTTATGTCGGGTTTTGTCGGTTTTTCGATTTTTTCGGTTATTTGCCAGTTTTTTTCTTAAATATACGACATACACTACCAAACACATATTTCGGTGACCACATTTTTAACGTAACACTATCAAATCAATTGCCTTTTTAGAAATCTATTATTTACCAAGATATATTAATGATAATTGAATTAAATAGTGATGACTAATTTAAGGACTCAATTAAAAATATATTATTTTTAACACGAAATTGATTCTTACACTTAACGAAAGAACTACCAATCAAATTAGAATGTAAAGGTAAAGAACTATACTAAAAGTGCAAACTATTAACATTTACCATAAAATTTTTGAAACTTTGTATAAAAATATACATATATATATAGGTGCAATAATGAATTTGAAATAGCTACTCCTATAGTCGGTTTGGTTCGGGTTTTTTTGGATTAAAACCATAACCAAAACAAATTTGATCGGTTTTTAAAATTCAAAACCAAAACCAAACCAAACCAAAAAATATCGGTTTTTTTGGTCGGTTTGGTTTGGTTTTCGGTTTGGTTCAGTTTTTCGGGTTTTTATGAACACCCCTAGTATTCATTGTCTCGCTATATGCCATGAATGTATTCATATGTTTTTTTTAATTAATATAATTTATGTATTCAGATGTATTATATAATTTCTCTGAAGATTGCTATGTTTTTGGGGTATTGCGGTTGAGAATCTTTTTTATAACTGAAAAATACAAAATTTGTGTGTTATAATTGAGTTTGTTGAGTTATATTAGGAGTCTATTACGTTAATTGATTCACTTTTCGTTTTAAAAATAGTGTAATCCCCTATTTCACGCCGTGAATACAGTCGAATACAATAATCTGTCCAGCTGTAATCCCATGTTTCACTCCATGAATACAGTCGAATGCACTCGAATACAACAATTGATTAGCTGGACTTCCCTGATTCACGCCTATTTTTGCTACTGTATTCATGAATACAATAGCTTAAATACATCAAATACATCTTATAACCACAGAAAAGGTATCTATATTCCGTAATATAGCAAATGGTATCTATAGATGGCTAATTACTACTAAAAGATAGTGCTTTATGAAAATTTCTCATCCACATTTCTACGAGCCCACTAGGAGTCCATTACTCATATGGTCACTCAACTATCCGAAATTATCTACCAAAGTCATCTTTCTTTCGTTTGTAACAACAAAGTCACTTAACTATGCCAAGAGCACTCAGAAGGCCACTCAACTAGATTTCTCAAATTTTTGATCACCAAATACCTATTTTACTCTCTAAATTATTAAATTTTATCTTCTTTTTACTTTTTTAGCTTTTTAATATAATATTTCTCTTTTTAATTTATATTATGAACTTACTTTAAAATAAATAAATTTTATTTACAAATTAAAAAAATTAAAATAGTATTTAAGCATATACTATATTGGAATAATAAAATATTGAGCATACAAGAAAGTTAATTAGAACAACTTGTTCGTAATAATAATTTTGATATTAACAAAAAAGAACTCAAAAAATTATTTACAAAATTGAGGATGAAAGAAAATAAAAGTTTTAAAATATATATTCCATGCACGTATTATAGAAAATAATCATTTAAAATAAAGGTATTTTTGTAATATACATTACATATTCTTGAATATTATGCTCAATTATATTATTATTGACATTATATGTGCTAGACAAATATTTTTTTATTTTTTTATTTTTGAATAAAATTTTTTGTTTTATAGGTAAGTCCATAATGTTGATTACAATTTACAAAAGTGAAAAAAAATCATAATATTGAAAAAGTAAAAAAAAAAAAAAACAGAAGATAAAAGTTAATAGTTTAAAGAGAAAAATAGGTATTTGACGATCAAAAGTTTGATAAATCTGTTTGAGTGACATTCTGAATAGACAAAGTTAAGTGACTTTGTTGTTACAAACGAAAAATAACTTTGGTAGATAATTTCGGAAAGTTGAATGACCATCTGAGTAATGAACTCCGCTCACTAGTAGAGAAGTTATAACTTAATTACATTCTCATATACAAATTACTAATTACATAAAAACTAGTGATAATTTCCTTTCTTCCCCACTAGAATCTCAACATATACTATATCAAAACTCGCAAATCAGTACCAGTCTCCATTAGTTAGCCTCCATATGAACCTCAAACCAACGTCGTAAAGGTTGTGCTGCTCATAGGGAAAATCTGGTCTTAGATTTTCTGCAGGGAATGCTAATTCGACTGCCAAAAACTTTTCCCTTTAGATTCCAAATCAGAAGCGAGCAGATTGAATTGGAAACCCTTTTAATCTATTAAAAACTTCATTGACATCCACTAGAAAAATCGAAGCTTTAAATTTGAAATTCGAATTTGTAAAACTATTATTTTTTGTATTGTTGCAAATAATTGCGAATATCCTATGAAGTTTGTATCTCAATTTTGAGAGAATTTGGTGGAGGTTCGAGTGCGTTTTGGTTGAACTTTCAGATTGAAACTCGAAAAAAAAAAAGGTATATACTTTGTATGTAGGGTGTACAAATAACATGCACAATATATACAACTAACATAATTATATACAAGTTGTATATGAACCGTATGTAAATTGTAGCTTTTGCTTGAATTCTGTACACCAAAAAATTATATTTAAGTTGTATATAAATTATAGTTTTTGATCGAATTTGTATATATTCTATAAAAAAAATCTTTAATTACTTTCTGTAAATAAGAATCTAGCCAAAACCAGATAAATAAATTTAAAATTTCGTATATATAGGAAACAAATAGGCAAACTCTAGGCCTAGTTAATTGCTTGGGAGCTTTTTTTTTTTTTTTGGAAAGCTCATGTATACTGTGGTGGAAACGCCCCGAAGTATTTTTATATTGGAGGCTGTTTGTGCGAGAAATTCAAAAATAGCCAGATTTACCACTGGTCGTTGAAAAATAGCCAAGTTTCAAAAGTCATCGAAATTTAGCCACTTTAAATCTGAGCGAAAATACTGTTCAAAATCCGGAAAAATACGAACTATGCTGGAACTCCCGCAAATTTTACGGGAGTTCAAGCATAATTATGCTGGAACTCCCGCAAATTTTACGGGAATTCCAGCAAGTATAATTGTCTAGTATAATATACTGGAGTTTGGAGCACTGGTGCTCCAGTCTCCCGCAAATTTTACAGGAGTTAGCAAAGTATACCGGTCCAGCATAATATGCTGGAGTTCGTACACAAATGCACCAGAACTCCCGTATATTATACTGGACCGGTCCCTGTTGCAGCAAAATAGTGGCTATTTTTTCATTGACTTGATAAACGCTGGATTGACCAGTGTGAAAACTGGCTATACCATGATATTTTAACGCTGTTTGTTGATAAAATTTCGAGATGCTAGAAAAAAGTAAAGAAAAAAGGTAGATAGGATTGGTTAGAATTTTCTTTTTCTTTTATATTACATTTGGGTGAGTAATAAATATTTTGAATTTTATATGTGTGTTTACACGATCGTGAATTTCATTCATTTTGTTTCTATGTAAGTAGATATGAGTAGTAAGCGATCATGTCTTTACACGGGTTAATATTGGGTGTAACACTTCATCCGACCATTTACCTTTGACTAGTGAATCTTATATTTATAGACCCGAAATAACAAGTATAGGAGAATCAATAACGAAGATTGATAAGAGAGCAATCATAAATACCAATAATAGATATAATAAAGGCTTTTTTTCTAAACTTGGTTCATGTTGTTCCATGTGCATGGGTGATAGCTAACCTTCCTCAGGTCCGAAAAATGCCGATAACTTGTGTTTACTGCCACATTGTGCTGAAAGCTGTGCATAAAGTTTCCTCTTTGTGAGGTTAGATAAAGAAAACATATTCTACTTCTGACCTGTTTCCTCTCTTTGTCAAAACTCCTGTAGTACCAAAGAGCTGTTAGATGAAGGCAAAAAGAAATCTGTTAGAGGGAATTAACTACTGAAATGTTGTGAAACATATACTGCGGTGCATTTTTGAAATAAATAAATATGTTTCGCGTTGAAAGTAGGAGATAGTCTCTACTGTGACTATCATTTGAAAGTAGAGTCAAGTATTTGGAATGACAATTTCCATGCTTATAAGTTCGAGTCTTTAGAATATATTATACCTTGCTTTTCTCGACAAACACATGAATTTTTTACCACCTGATTGTTTCCTTCACTTTGTTTATTTTATTACTGCTTGTTATTACTGTCTCCTTTTTATATCTTGTTGAGCCGAGGGTCTATTGGAAACAACCTCTCTATCCTCCTAGGTAGGGTTAAGGTCTGTGTACACTCTACTCGCAAAATTATGAGCACAGGTCTAGAGTGTCTGTGTTTCCTGTGCACTTTACCTGTTTCCATTTATGTGTCATTACCACCCACGACCCTCACTGGCTTTCTTGAGCATGCTGCATTTCCTGTGCACTTTACCTGCTTTCATTTATTTAAAAATTATTGTGGCCAATTTCATTTATAACAGATGGCGACCCTAGACAAGGGAAAGGAAGCAAAGATCGAGGAAGCTAAGAAGAACTTGAGTTCATCTATAACTGCATTGAAGGAGTTTTGTAGGAAAAATGTTAGAAAGACTCTTGTTCAGTTTTTTCAAGAAATTCATTATTGTATTTCTCCCCTCAACCTAATCTCTTGTAGGGAATGGACCCGAAGCTTGCATCATTGCTATATGTTATTCGGACTAGTCGTGTCTCAGTACGCGATGAAGAGAGAAGACTGAATTTAGCTGCCAACCCTAGTCAGCAAGCTGAATTTTTTTCTCAAGAACATGGACAGCCGGGACGGGATGATGAGAAGCAGCAAGCTGAAAAACATGGAGAGCGGGGACGGGATGAAGAGAAACGGGATGAAGAGGAGTAAGTTTGCTAACTTCTTTAATGAAGTCTTTGCAAATATTGTTCAAATTTGTCCCAACATTGTTCAAAATTGTCTTCGAGTTATAATTTTAAAACAAATTGTGTGTGAGTTAGCGGTGCAATTTTTGGTTCTTTTCATAATTTATGACATATGTGTCATGTTGAACTGCAGGAGAAAAAAAACGGGATGAGGCCAAGAACATAAGGTGCAATTCTTGTTATGCTTCCATGCTATCTCCTCATTTCTAGCTACTTCCTCAAATTCCATGGCTAAATTTAAATTTTATTTATCTCAGATATTGAGATAATATATAGCATACATAATAGCATTGGAAGAATCTTATACCTTAATTTTTAACATGTATGTTGAAGAAGAATCTTATACCTTAATTTTTAACATGTATGTTGAATATGTCATTTTAGATTTGTTTATAGAACATATTCTGCTATGATATATTTCACAAATTAACAAAATATTTTCCTAATTATTGAAAGAAATTTTAAGTAGTTGATATAATCTTTCTTAGAAATAATTATATATCTGATACTTCTCAAAAGGTTAAGATTCTTAGTTTAAAACCACAAAATGAGAAATTATTTTTCTTTTGGAATATATAAAAACAGTATACTCATATTTCATTTGTGTCTTTCTTTTCTCTAATTTCTATACACCAAAGTGTATTTAGTGCCAAAAAAAAAATGGTTTAAAATTTATTTCTTAATAACAAAGGGAAACTCGTTGTGTGTTGATCCAACTGACCAAAGGTGGCAAAGTGGTTAAAAGAGAACAGTTATCCACCCATATTATCCATTAAAAAATGGGTTGGATAATGAACTTTTTAAAAACGAATCGAATATGGATAAGAACCATATTATCCACTTAGAAAATGGATAACCAAATGAATAACGAATTAATTTAATTTTTACCTTTGTGCCTCAAAATGGAGGTTCCTCAAGTTTGGGAGACTAGGAATTCTCCCAGAAGTGATCATATTCAAGAAGCCATGGATAATATGGATATTCATATTATCCGCTGGGTAACCTTTTTTATCCGTATTAAATATGGATCGGGTCGGATAATTAATCCGTTTTTTTGAATTACCCGCTTTCAACCCGCTCATATCTAACCCGACCCGCCCGTTTGCCACCCATACTACTGACAATGAAGTACTATACTCCTCTATCCGCCAATGGTAACCTAAGAGGTCTAAAGGTAAAACTAGTGTTGGTAGGATCATGAAGCTGCTCTTCACTGAAACATTATACAGCATTTGGCTAGAAAGAAACCAGAGATCAACTTTTGAACAAAAATGCAAAGAAGCTGAGATCCTAGCTAGAGAGATTGCATATATTTGCTTGTGCCTGCATGGTTAATTTTTTAAATAGAGGATAGGAGACGGTTGTGTGGCTATTTTGTAGTCTTAGGCAATTAGTTTCCTTAGTGGGCTGTGTTTGTATGAGCTTTTTGGGAGTATTATCACTTTAGCCCGCGCTAGAAACTATTTATATCCGGTAGTTGAAAAAGTGTATAAACTTATATAATTTTTGTATATAGCAATACAGAATGTGTATATATACAAAAAATATACGATTTTTCGACTATTATTTTTACAGCGGTTATATAGTATTATTTTTTCTTTTTTCTTTTTAGCCGGTTGTGGTGGCTCGGTTGTTTTGTACAGATTTTGATAATTAATAAAATATTCATTTACCCCAAAAAAATACACTCCTCTGTCCAATCTACCAAGGGAGATAGCAATTGCTTATCATAGAAATCAAAGATGCTGCTTTTACTTAATGAAATTCCATAGCTTATCTTGTTCCAGGATCCTAATTTGATGGATTCCGCTGTTAAAATTTTTAACACAAAACTCATCATAAATTTAGATTATGAGTTCAGAATTTAATAATTATTAAAAATTTATCATGTTTTTTCATATATATATAGAGAGAGTATTCCATGCTAAAAGTATTGGCTGGATTGAACCTAGGGGTCTCAATGGATATTTAAAAACCGACTAAACCGACCGAACAGTGCCGTACCGAATCGATTTTTAGGTTTCTTTTAATAAAACCGTAGGTTTTTATATAAATCTATAACCGTACTGATAATTAGGGTAGGTTTTTTATTTTATGAAATTAAATCGAAAAAATACCGAACCATACCGAATAAATAATAAAACATTAAAACTACTATTGAAACTAAATTTTTTTCAGCATATTCACTAACAAGACACAAGGTATTCTAGTGATTATGAGTAGCAAACTACAATGTATTGAATATTTTTCTTTCATATGATTTAAATTTATATTTTCGAATATTTGATCTTCTATAGACTTTATTCTTGAGTCACAACTTACTTAATATCATTCCACTAGTGTGATTTATATTTTTTTATATTTGCATAGTTTCTTTTACGCTGTTGTAGGATAGTTGATGGATCTATACTCTGGCCATCTTTTATGTTTTCTTAATTCATCACCCTTTAAACAGTAAAAATGTCTAGCGAGTTTTGCTAAGTCTTATAAAAGTACATATGTTGTTGCATTCTGCTTCTACTAGTGACTTTTACGTGACATTTAAAAAATACCGAAAATTCACCGAATCGTACCGATACCGAAGAAAAACCGACATGATTTTTACGGTTTTAAAAGTCTAATTTTGGTTATACATAAAAGAATAACCGAAAAATTGATATGGTACAAATTTTATAAAATAACCGGCCGAACCGAACCATTTACACCCCTAATTGAACCCACAACACTAAGGCTGTGGGATTCATAAGCATAAAGAGTACGAGAAACGGAACTTATGCATTTATATGTACTAATATATATCAATTATCAACCATAAAAATTCTCGACTTATAAAGAACGAAAGATATATTATTAATTCCAGATCACAAAAAAGGAGATCACAACTGAAGAAGAAAACAAAAAAGAAGAACCATAATACTCCTAATAAAAGAGTAATAGTTCTAATATAAAATTTCAAAAATCCACTTCAATAATCTGGAAGCTCCTTCATACTGCGCATGAAGAACAAGGAATCCGTGTAATTAAAGAGTGATTGAGCTGAGCACAATAAATCAGCTTGATCAGTAATATCTCCATAATCATTATAATTAACATCTTCACTATTTGTATCTTTGATTTCACTAACCAGCTGGATATTCCTTGCATTATTGTAACTGATGCTGTTATTTTCATCCGAATTAAGCTCATTTTCAACATTCGCATAAATCCCAACTTGAAAATCATTAATGTTACCCTCGTAATCATGATAATTATTTGGCTCGGACTTATAAGGCGAAGATGAGAGGTCTTTTTCGGAACGAGAAAAGCCAGTGAGATTTTGGACTAATGCCATAAAATCACGAGGATGGGTACGAATTATTTTGGGAGAATGAGTGTAAAATATAACTGGATGGCGTTGTTGCTGCTCAAATGATGGTTTCTTGATGTGACAAGAGTCCCTGTTCATCTTCAATGGAGGGCTCATGGTTAGTTACTCTGGAGAATATTGTATGTAGTAAAATGCATGTGTTACGTAAATATATAGAAAAGGGAAAGAGTACTAACACGTGAAAGAGATAGCTGGATATATGTGAGAGTATAGTGGAAGGTTTGTTGGGAGGATATGGTGTGTCAGTGTCAAATTTAGCTGATTCTTAGGGAAAACGAGGTTATTAGTTTAGACCAGGAGACATCATGCTCTCCTAGGATTGCTTGTGATAATCTTCTTAATTCAAATATGATATATGGCATCGCCTATGTTATTATCATTAAACTGTAGCTCTCACATTATCATTTAACCATAATAAATTAGTATAATTTGGTGAAAATACGGGATGCGCATTTTTACCATTCAAATGTGTCTTTAAGCTCACCAAGCCAAGTGATGTTTCTTTTTCTTTTATAGATACAATGTAATTGAAAAATTCATATAGAAACAAACAATAAGCTATTTACGAGTACGATAAACTCATTCCCCATATGTCTGTAGCTAGCCAACAACACTTTTGACCTTGGGTCGGAAAGGAATATATCTAGCTTTAAGAAAGCAAGGCCCATTATCTTTACTCCCCATTAGTTCATTCAACAAAACTGATTGTAATACTCACTCTACTATTAAATCTTCATGCTACATTTTTGTTACTTTTCGAGGACATTGGATAAAATTAGAACTAAACCATTAGAAGGTTTCAGTCTTAAAATTGAAGAAAAACAACAGCTGACAGAGAATATGATAATCAGAACAGAGTCTAACTACATAAAAGATAGTCCATACATTTCTTAGTTCTCGGCAAATATAAAGTTAAAAACATTAGAATTCCATACCATGGTCATTAGTCCAAATCAACTATTGAATAAGGATTGGACTACCAAAGCTTTGACTCTTTTTTCCTTTGATTTTTTAGAATGTAGCCAACAACAAAAGCATATCACCGTGCCTATACATCGCGCATGTCAGAGTTCGACATTACATAAACCATTCAACCATCAGATAGCCAGAACAAAATATGTGGAAATTTCAAAAGATGAAATCAAATGGAATGGAATTTCAAGAGCTGAAAATTGCTCTTTTAACTCAAAATGAAGACAAAATCAGCTTATAAATACAGCAAATGGCCACTTGTATCCTTCCAGAAAGCACATGTAATTGGACTGAAATACTTGAGATGCTAAAAACCAAAATCCCTTGTTTAGTACAGTACACAAGAGTGAGATTTCAGGTGATAAATTTCTAAATTCAGGTGCTTTCCAAATGGTCTTTTGCTTATGAGCACTAAGTGGCCCCTCCCTGAGACAGCTTCTTGATGTACCCCCCACTCCCCAAAAAAAAAACCCAAACTGGTGCCGACACTGTTAAGCTAGGTGATCGAACACATTTAACCTAAGCGATCACCTCTGGCTGTCAGATAAGGCATTGTACTCAGAATTGGAACTGAAGTTGCAAACTTAGTACGATTCAGTCATCTATGTACCTCCACAAGTCTCTGTCTCTTAGAGATAAAGTCCTAAATCAGGCAACCATTATCTACGTGATCTTTGGCTCCGATCTTCTTCATCCCTTCCATCACGGTGGAGGCGAGCTTGTTTGTCCCAGTCCCTGCTATCTCTTTTTTCTGCATGATAAGATTCAGATTCATATCTTTTTTGTCTTCTTTCATCCCTCCTATTATCATATTCCTTTGACGTCGGTACATCATCATGCTTTCTTGATTTTCTCTCAGTATCTTCCCCTGAGTTCCCTACATCATCATACCTCCTAGATCTTCTCTCCACATGTGAACTATCCAGATCTTCTTTGTAATTACCATCCTTTCCTTTTAGCTCTGACCTGTGCTGCTCGATATCTCTCTTATAATGATCTCTTGCAGTCAAATCTCTCTGCTCGTAGTGCCTTTCTACATTACTGATTCTTGCTTTGGAATTTCGTGAATCTTTATCAGAAACTTTGACCTTTTCCGGGTGATCAGGCCGTGGAGGCCGACTCGATTGCCCAAATTTCTTTTCCTTCTTAGAATCCTCAAACCCGTCATGCGACCATCTCTTAGATTGTCGATCTTCCTCAGCACCCCAGCCTGTGTTTGCAGCTCTCTAAAGACAAAAAGAAAAGGAATAAATACCCTAAAAATATAAAATACGAACTTCAGATCTTTGAATTATAGAAAGCTGAAAACTCAATGGAGAAAGAGGGCCAATAGATTAAAAAAACACGATAAGAAAAGAAAGTTCTGCTTTTTCCTGTTTCATTTTTACTGGAAACTCAAATGATCGCATTAGTTAGTTAGGCTTAGAAGAATCTGCAGACAATTTTGGCAAAAAGGACGCTGCTTCTCCGCCTCCTTGAGAAGTGACTAAAATTGAATATCTACCTATCCCCGGCCGCTAGAGAAATCAGAAATGATTAATTTAATAGCACAAACTATCCAACCCACCCCCATCTCGGAATCTTTTCCTGAAATCAGGCTCTCAGAACCATGCTAATTCTCAGGAACCCCCCCCTTCCCCCCCCCCCCCCCAAAACACACACACCCTCCCTCAAACCGTAATCGTTCTTCATGCCAAGGTAGTTAGGTTTATGGATTAGATCTTGGAAGAATGTGGTGGAATAGTTAAGTTATATAGATATGGGCATATGGTCTTCTAGCAGCTAAGCTATTTATTTGTCCATGATAACTTTGCAAAAGTCGTACTGGATTTACTAAAACACTTTCCTGGTAAATCACAAAATAATTTAGGTTTAACAGTACTGTCAGACTCAGTCTTGTTAAAGGCTCGTCTGAGCTAGGCGTAGCACAGGCGTGAAACTTTGCCTCGCTTAGGTGGCATTTCAGTGCAGCACCAAGTTGGTAAGGCATGCACCTCATAATACCCATGGGTCATCTTGAAGAGGACTGCACTAAATTATGAATATAGTTGGCAAAATGGAATATTAATTAGTAAAGATACATTATGAACGAATATGCTAACAATTAGTAATACAAAATTACAAACCTATAAGAAATATAGACATAAAAGTCGAATTAGAAACTTAAGCTGCACTTTGTATCTGAATCAGAAATTTAAATTTCTTAGATAAATTTTTCATTTCCTTTATTCATATAATTAATGCTTGTAGTTATAAGGATTTTTTCTATCGTTACATATATATTTTCTGTTTTCTTCAATTGTATCTTTTTTAATGAAGTACTCACTTCAGCTGAATTCGCGCTTAAAGACCCAATAGGTCTTGACGCTTTTAATGTGGTTGAACTCAGACATTCTTAAATTCTAAGCCTCAAAGTGGAGAGTATATGCATAATTAAACATGGATGGAACTCCAGTAAAACAAGCAACGCATCAGAGTTTACTGGAAATCAAAGGTGATACTCTGATATCTGAGGTTGTATATAGAAATGGGATAATCCAACCCATCAGGACAGAAGTTTTTCCCATCACCAAATTCAAGTATTACTTCCTTCCAACTCTAAATTCTCATCTGAACACTAATTTATGGCACATGGTTAAGTTAAAGCTGCTTCTGCTGTCGTTTTTTCTTTGGGGGGGGGGGGGGGGTAA